CGCGCGTTGCGTTGTGCCTAACCTTCTCCCGCCCGTAACCGTAGATCCGCTGCGTCTCCAACACGCGCTCTCCCTCTCGCCCCCTATTCTCTCATGGCGTGCCGCGATTCGTAGCAAAGTTTTCAACGTCGCCTCGCTTCTTCCATCTTTCTCCTTCTTTATTTTTATCCATTTCTCTTTTTTTCTTTCTTTCAACGGAATATATACAATTTTTGGCCGGATTCATTGCTCATTGTATGTACACGTTTTCGAGGTTTTCACTGCGGGATTTCTCTGTTTCTCGCGAAATTACTACCGGCGAATATATTCGGGGAATCTCCTTTCCCCTTCTCTCCTCCCCTCCACACTTTTTGCCCGCTCTTATTTCAAAGTAACGCTGTTTTCATCTTTGTTGTTCCGCGGATCGCGCTTTCGCATCTTTTTGTTTATTTTCCTCCTCGGCGACTGTTGTTTATCCTTTTCTCTGTCAGTCGTGTTTCCCCCCTCCTTCCCCTTAACGACGCCCCGGCAAAACGGACGATCGGTTTTAGTAGTCAGAGTCGACGGAGTCGCATGAACGGCGTGCAACGTGACGCGAGGATCGTACAGTCGTGTTCTCGGTAGTCCCTCGTGTGGGAGAGCGCCGGAGTGAGAGGGGCAGATCGAGTAAGAGAGAGAGCGCGGTCGCACGTAGCTTGTAGGGAAAGGCGGAGAGAGGAAGGAGAGCAGTAGCTAGCCGGTGGTGCGTCGTCGTCGTGCGCTTCCTAACCTCCAAAACGGGCTTCTCGCCTCGCCTCGCCGATAGCCGACGCGTAAACGCCGTAACGTACGTGACGAACGGAACGAACGACGCCGTCAACCTCGACGCGCGCGCGCGTGTGTATGTATGTGCATGTGCATGTGCATGAGTGTGCCCCGTCTTTCCCGTGACGTCGCCTTCGATTCATAACGAACGAACGCGATCCGCAGTCGTCGCCGTCGTAACTTTGCGACAGTGTGTTTCCACGCGTGTGTGCCATCACGGGGCGAAGAAAGAAGGCTTGCGTCGCAAGTACCGCAAGGCGGAAATATCCGTGAGAGAGAAAAGAGGAAAGGTGATCGCGGAAGAGAGTTTTTTTTGTTCTCGCTTTCGAAATTTCTATATATCTTGTACGTCTCTGTGTCGCGCGGCGTCTTTGTGAGTGACACGAGGAACACGCGAGTTGCTTCACCGCCGTTAACATCGCCAGGTGCACGGATACTCCACGGAATTCGTCTGGACATTCCTTCCATCGTTGCTGCCACCGCTGCCGCCCGCTTGGGAGCCCTACCGTGGACACGGTTAGTACATTTGGCCAATAGCCGATATGCCTCATGACGACGTTCCGCTTGGATCCCCGATTCCCAGTTTGAGGCTCGATTCTCTCGGTATGGCACCACGTTGAGCCGAGCGTTCCCGGCGCTGCCGCACGCGGCCGCGCGCGAACCCGCTGCGCGCGCCCCGAAATCCGCGCGGATTTCTCCCCCGTACTCCTCCTCATCCTCGCGTCGGTGCGCGCCCTGCGAAGGGCGCATGTCCGCCGCGCGTTCGCACGTTGAAATACGTTGAAACCAGCCGTGAGCCGTGGTGGGTTCCGAACTCCTCTCCCTCTCCCCCTCGCCGATGCTGCTTGTTTCGCACGTGGTCGCGAATTTCCGTCGACGACGTGGTCTCGGTCTACTCGGTCGACGAGCGATTGTTCCCTCTCGGACGGATACCATCCGTCACGGTCTCATGGCCTTGGCCCTTTCCTACGTGCATCGCCGGAAAGCCGATTTCCCGCGCTGGTTTCAGAGCGCAGCCTGGCTTGCGCAAACGAGCGGAAATATGCTTCTGCTGAGGAGAAACAGGTGCCACCGACTGGATACACGTGACGGCTTTCTTTCGAGATTGCGAAAGTTTGCTGTGATTGGGATCTCTTCGTCATGTCTACAATGGAATAATAAAGCCGTAAGAAATTGACTAATCAGTCGGTGAAGAGAATAAGCGACTATGATTAATCGCTTCTTACTGTTTAAAGATGTCTTCATGCTGATGCTTGATGCTTGTTTTTAGTGTCAAAATAGGTTATACATATGTATGACTGAAATTAACGTCATATAAAAAGTGAAAGTGGTGAAGCTGCGCCGTCCAACGTCCAACCTCGAACCGAGCAATCTGGGAAGTCAGTCAACTTTTAGTAAACTTTTTCCCTATGGTGAAAACAAGAAAAGTGAAAATTTGTTGTGTATTTTTATTTTTCATGTTTCTGCCCCAGGGAAAAATTACGATGATTGACCCCCTGAAGCCGTAATCAACCTGACGCTGCTTTTTAGCATTTCGTAAATGACACCTTAAGTGCCGGATCTGCAATAGGTTGTTTTAGGCCCGGTTGCACCAACGTTACTTTGATTTTAAGCGAAACTTAAAACTCTATCTCGTTTTGAAACTGAAAAGAGACAAAGAAAGTTTTAAGTCTCGCTTAAAGTTAGAGTAATGTTGGTGCAACCGGACCTTAAGCTGTAAAGAATTGACCAACTACAGTCAAATACGAGAAGAATAATTGATTGTGATTTGTCCATTCTATAGGGCTGCCGCAGACAAAACTTTTGTAACAGTAACTTTAAGACGTGAACTTAAGCTGACGAGCGAATCAAGATACTGCTTTAGATCTATGTGCTCTAATAGAAATAGAAATAGCAATAAACTTATCCATAAGGTGAATTTCAACCGGTTGAAATGCGAGGTTATAGATAAGTTTATTGTTTTTTCATTTCCGTTAGATTATGTAAAGCAATATCCTGATTGGCTTAAGTTTACGTCTTTATATCATTGTTGCAGTATTTTGTGTGCGGCAGCCCTTAAGCTGTAAGGAAATCAACGTGTTGGAGTAGCTACTGCTCACATTATGGGCTTACAGTTTCCGCTGTGATTGATTGATTCGCTTACTGTTTACATTTTACTGCTTAAGTTTGTTTGTGTGTCATGGCTCTTATTGTAGACACCGCATTAAACGATGAAGGATAATATACTTAATAGTTTTAATAATAAGAAATATCACAGCATTAGTAGAAAAGTGGCACAATTCAAAATTAGCAACTTTTCAATAAAATACTTTGAATTTTTTTTAATCAGAGCAACGTTTTACTAATTAGAATAATAAATATGCATGAATTTACTTTCCATGATACTTTCAATTATAACGTATTATTTAAAATTATTTTATTAATTTTTAAAATTTAAACACTGTAACTTTAGTATAAGGTTGCGTGAATTTCATCTTTTGTCAGATTGTGACTGGTCATCGTCACTTATCATCTCGCCGATTTTCAGTCGGAGATTCCGTCGAGATTTTTAACATTTTCAGCTGACGAAAAAGAATTTCTGGCTAACCATTCTAAATTTTCATGATCTTTTTTTTAAGTGCCTCGCATTTACTTCATCTAGTTTCTTCCAATTTCAAAAAGAGATCTTGATTCTTTTTTTTTTTTTAGAGAAAGCGTGCTTTTTTTTAAACAAAATATCGAAACATCAATAGTGACAATCGATTTCTAGTAAAAATACTAATCTTTGGTAGTAAGACTAGATTTGGTGACTTTTTCTTTTTTTTAGAGAAACTACAATAAGATAATTTCGCTAATTTCAGCAGAACACTGCGACCTCTAAAAGAGAATCTTCAATCTCCTGATCTCTAGAGACAAAAGATAAAGCAATCTTGTCCCATTGTGTGGTGAATACTAAAGGCAAGAACCAAACAAGAAAAAACTAAACTTGAATCTCGAAACTTGGATTCAAATCTTATTTCGTTTATAATTTATATCATGTTCGAAATCACCTTACTTTATTTCATGGACAAATATTTTATTTATCTTTATGCGAGTGACAGTACAAATATGATATTGTATACTTTTTTTAAAGGATACTCGATCTCCTAAACGGTCGTTTGTTAACATTCATTAATCTTCACTTTTAACAGGAAGCGTCTATAAATTGCGCTCGTGCATACTTCTTTCCTCGCCTATTTGTTTAGTACCTGTGTCTAATGTCGTTGAATATTTATGTCATGTCTACCAGTAAATAAATTTCTGTCTCGCGAGGCTTCAAACTAGGACTGATAGTAGACTGGTTCTTTTCCACGGCAGGAACTCGGTTTATACAAACGTATCTCGCGCAACAATCATTTACCACTGGGAAAACATCGCTGTCACGCAGGGGCGGTAGAAGAGAAACGACGATGGCCGATCCGACGAGCGTTTAATTAGTATCAAGGCGAGTCGCCGTTCCTGGTTGCAACACACGACGAGGCGACGACGGTGAGGGAAGAGAGCGCGTTTTTGCGAGGCGATGGGCGTAAAAATCGCTGCCGTAAACAGTCCGGCTTGGTTGCGGTGGCGCATAGTTACGCGCGGCTTATCGCGGCGCCGCATTGCGCGACGCAACGTCGCGTCGCGTTCCTCGAACCCACGGCCTCGTACGTGCGAGCCGCCGTATGCATGTATGCACCTGGCCTACGGTACCCCACGGTTGTGGTACGCCAGTCGGTACGCCAGGTTCTTCAGGATCGTGAGAATCACCGTTGTGCTCGCGTCCTCGCGATCGTGCAACCCGGCTACACGCGACTTTGGAGAACCTAGCCGTCCCGTTCTCGCGACGCGAATTCTTCTGCTTGTTGTTGGCGCTTCCCGATTTTATATTCTAATCTAACGATCGTTGAAACAATGGACGAGTTCAAGACGGCAAAGCGGCTAGGCATGCTTACCGAGCGATTGAATATTGGTTGGATCTATAAGTAATAAGTAACAATCAATTATGTTCATTTGTTCGCTTTGTCAACTTGAACGTGCCCATTCACTCAGCTACGTCTTTCTAATGTTTTAGGCACGGCGGTTTGAGAAACTTTCTTTTAACAAGTGCATTAGATAGTTTCGAGAATCATCTAACTGAGAAAATTACTCTTATATATTTTAGCTTGTCACTTATTTTTAATGTCATCTGTATTTTTTTTGATGAGAACTATGAATATGATTATTAACCTGAGACCTTTCTTTAGATTTATTCTCGTCGATCTAAATTTATATCATATTGATAATGTTGCAGCAATAATTAGAGGCTTTCTAATAGAAGAAATAACAGAAATTTAGCTCGGCGATGTTATTCTTCTGCAAAAAATAGTACGACTGTGGTATACAGTATTACATTTATTAATTTACTGAAAAAAATGGCATTCGGGGAAAAAATATTTGGATTAATTGAAAGTCTGATTAAAAATGGACGAATCAAAATTTTCTAATTAATTCTATCAAATTCTAGTTCAGATAACTAGAATTTTGATCAATATAATCGGAATCTTCTATTTCGTTCATATTTTTTTAGCCATTTTTTTCAGTGCGGTACCAATGAAAATTGACATTAATAACAACAATAGTCTAGGGTAATAATTATAAAAATGGAGATTCTTGTCATAATTATTTTACCGTGTAATTAGTTGCATAAATATCAAATTCTTTTCTCTCTGTGTTTGAAAGACAGTAACTGACTTGAAAATAATTTTTGTAAAATATTATTCTTTTGTTCGTTTTGAAATATGCAACTTGTCTTAAACGCAGCATTATTTCGCTTAGCTCGTTTTGAAATTCCGACACTTTCGTATTCGTAACGTGAGGATGAAATTCGTATCTTTTGGACGTCGCCTCATTGAGCAAGATTTGTCGTCGTCGTCAACGGCACCATTGTCAATAGAAACTAGGCTGCCAACCGGCAATCAGAGCGTACCTTCTTGCAAGCAAGAGCGAGTCTCGCCGAACGAACGAGTGAAGCAACTTACAACGCGTAATTGCTTCCTAGGGAATTAGAAACCACACCTTTTGTGTTCGTACGCGAATGTCGCCGATCGACATAATAGGAAATCACTGTAATCGCGATTAGTTAGCCAATAGACAAAAAAGGTTCCGCGTCAGGCTCAATCACAGCTTACCAATCACCCGCAGAGTGTATGTACCTGAATTCACAATTAATTTTCGTGATTATGAAATTTTCAATCTAGAGGATTTGGACGTTAATAGTTTTCTACACATCGGTAGAGATGGGAAAAATATTTTCTCTCTTTCATCGTGATCTTCTATTTTTTATTAATCTTTTTCACTTTCCTTGCTATGTTACATTTTTTCTTTATTATACATTTTCATTATGTATTATTTTCTTATATTCTTTGTTATTATTGCTGCTTTTTATTTGTTTTTTTTTTGTTTTTTTGTATGTTCTCGCCTTAGAGAACAATAATAAACGCTTCATTTATCTATTTATCTATTCTTCTCGATAATTT